GATCGGCAAAAAGCCTGTTGTAAAATCCACTGGCACTCTGTTGCGGCGCTGCTGCGATCTTTGGATCTGATGGTTTTGTCTGGTCGCTGAGTATATTGTTCGTGTTTGTAGCTTCAGTTCCATAAATCTCTTGTAGTTTTGGGCTCACGTCCGCACATGCTACTTTTCCGTGTTCAGTGTTCGACGATTAGCAAAAGTAGTAGTATGCGCAATACTTGGCAAGCGATCTTGTCGTGCAAAGCATTTTTGAATGCTTCTTGGGAATATTTTCATTACGCAGCATGCAATATCCTCGTGCCGGATCAGGATTGCAGCAATATTTGTCAACGGATTCAGATTACAGCTAATTGCAGCAACAATCCGAACGAAATCCGGAGAGCGTTCTGGCGTGTATTTGTGCGTAAAAATGATATACTTGAGACACATTGGTAGCACATAAAAGAAAAGCGTGAAAGCACATGAGATACCCATTGTTGCAGTAAGTTTACGTTGGCGCTGAGTAAATATCCGTAGTGACGTTTCATCCTGGAACAGAAAGCATCCTTTTGGCCCTTACTGCTTCAAATCTGGTCGACCCGTATCTCCTCGGAGATACACCAGCACTGGTATTGGACTTACGGCATACTGGTGCTATTCTTTATTTTCTTAAATCGAACGCAGATGGAGCATTGACTTTTTATTACCGATTGATTCAGTTAGAATTTGGCTGAATCAAGTGCAATTTCGCATGATTTATGGATTTATTTCCTTGAATGGTGCTAGCTAGCATGTCAAAACTTCAGAGTATCTTCAAGTTGGGACGAAGAAAATTGGAAGAATGCTTTCGTTTCTTCTAGACAGTGAAGAAGTTGACCTGGTTACTAATTACCAGAGAATTCAAATCAGTTTCTTACTTTTGTCACCGATTGTGAGCAAACTGTATTTATCGATTGATATGGCTAACTAAAGTAAATTTTTCCAGACTCGCGTTGCTCTCACAGTCAAATACAAAACCAGTAAATTTTAGATCTGGATTGTCAGATTAATCAAAAAGCTTTAAGAATCTTACGCGGAGAATTTTTAAATTTCAAAGATTAAATACGGCATTATGTTCTTTCTCGACGAATTCTCAACTCAAAATAAATTTAACTGCTCAGTAGTTGTAACATTTCTGTACCTTTGCTTCTTATGGAAACTTTCTCAATTTTTTAGGTAAATCTATATTTTTTCAGGCCTGCTTAAAGTTAAAAGCTGCAACTGTCTTTTCTGGAAGCAAGAGAGAGAATGCGATAGGTAAGCTGAGACCTGGAAAGTCTGATTAGCTACGCAAGTTACCTGATTGCTTTAAATTGCCATTCGAGGGCTCAAAATAACACTCCATCAAGTAGATTTTGGAGATCCTGATGAGCGTGTAAAGGAATTCAGGAAATTTGCTGCAGCCTTTAACAAAGTGAGAAACAAATGGAACTTACAGGCTGATCATTTTTTATCCGGCTTATTTGTTTTCTTGTTAGCAGGAAGATAATTCCGTATAAGATAACGCTTAGCGATGGTGCAACAATCGTTATCAGCACTGCGAACTCGGCGTAACCGGGCTTCAGGACTTCTCCTGTCCTGAAATGCTGCGATATCCGTTATTTCTTGCTCCCAGACCTTCGTTTCGAAATTAAAAAACAGTGAAACTAACTTTCTGAAGCTTGAAAGTCATAATTTTTGGAAAATTTGCAAGAACTGATAGAAAAATTGGCGAAAGGCTGCAGTGAATAGCA